CTTTCCCTGCATGCACCGGATGGATACTTAATCTGCTCTGCTGAAGGTTCCCAATGTGTTTCATCATTTACAGCCAGATTTTAATATTCATACTCATGTTGGTTAGTACCTGAGATCAGATTGAATTTAATGAGATTTCATGTCTCTGTTCCCTTGCCTGAAAAAGGGGGAATATATGTATGTCTCCCTTTCAAAATGCTTTCAGATTTAGGCATGAAAGATGCTCAGCAGATGTGGAGAGCACCACTCATCTGAGTGGCTAATTCCATGCAGTCTCATTCATAGCTAAAATTGGTCTGAAAACTGGCTAAAAAAGGCAATTTCCAGCACCAGTGCTACTTACCTCAGTCACCATAGTCAGTCCCAGAAGATAGCTAAGGAAACATACTATAGCGATGAAGATTTCCCGTCGGTAACCCTTCCTTAGGAAGGATGGGTGCAGATCAACTAATGACGTGATCTGTCCTTCAACTTCAACAAACTAAAGGGGAAAAACAACAACAAAGAAACGTGACTTAAAAATTATCTACCATGCATTTTATCCCACTTGAACAAACGCTCCACAGCACTACCCCAGCTGCTCTGTGGCAAAACGCTGCTCTGAATCAATCAGTCAGAAGCCATTTCTCTGTGACCAAGAGGCTGAAGCGTGGGGTAGTTTTCAGGTTGGAACAAGCTTTGAGAACTGCTGTTCATCTCCTAACAGCCTTACGAACTACCAAAGGGGGTCTGTAAATGCAAGCCACAAGGGTAAAGGAAGTTAATTTGATGACAGGAAGGCACTTCTGTGGCTTTCATGTTGTAGCTGTTCCAGATGAATACAAGATGTGCGCTAGAAAAGACACAGAGAGAAAACACTCAAAAAGGCTTAAGCTAGGAGAGTAGCTCCCAATCTTTTTTGATGTGCCAGAAAGCCACAGGTTCTAGTTAAGTTAACTTCACAGTTGGATATAATTCTACTCTTGGGTTTGTTAGTGATAGTCCAGCCAAGGGAAAGCAGACTTTGATGTGAAATAACAGCTCTTCTTGACTGAACTTGTCTATTCTGAACCTGAGAGCAGAGTACCTCTGACTGAGGCTCTGGGGTACTTCTGCAGCAGTAGTGGAGCTGTTCATACAGTCCTCCCCTCGCCCCCCAAGGATTTGGTATACTATTTGAACATGTAAACCAAAAAAGCTTTGAATAGAAGAGTTAAAGATCTTTATCTAGCCTCATGACACTGTATTTCTGCTTACTTGCCATTGGAAAACTACCTGTAAGATGTGTAACTTGAGTTAAACAAATCAACCAAACTGGATTTGAACAGAAGTTTAAAGTTAATTGAAAACAAGGTGCCTTTCACCCATGGAGAAAAGTGACTACTGAACTCTCCCCAAACAAGTCCAAGAAAGGGATCACTCAGCTGATCTGTACTTTCAGCCTGGCAAAGTACAAAAGCACTAAGTCCACTGAAGACATGAGGATACCACAGAGAACCAAGGCTGCCTCTGTAGAAATGATCTTCACTTTAAGTAGACAAATCATCTTGCAACTAATGAATTATCATCAGAAGTCTATGAAATAGCATTACTTCAAGAAAAAAAATACCTTTTCCTACCTTAGTGCTCAGAAGTGCCCTGCAACAGCTCCACCCTCTTTGGGCATGAGCTGAAGCTCTACTTTGGAAATAGAGACTGTCCTGCAAACACTCTACCTGATCTTCTTGCCTCTTGTCTTGTTACTCTGACTTCTGTAAAACTGGTTTTCTTTTTAAATGGAACCCTTTTCTTTTGGGCTGATTTGTTCTTAAACTGCTCTGGTCTTCCAGAAACCTGCTTGACTGCACTCAAAAAAAACCAGAGGGGCAGAGGGGGAAAATTAAGCGCTCCAATTAGTTTTAATCATTCTACGCAGTGAGGAGTGCTTTAAAATTACTAGACAGCTTCCAATTTGCATAAGCCTAGGGTTGCTGAGCCACAGCATTGAGCACTTTTACATTTACTTCAGAACAATTGTAAATTGCTCACTGGAGTTCAAAGATTAAGCTGTAAAGAGCAATTTAGGAAAAACACAATATCAAAAATGTAAGAGATTAAGCACACAAAAACTGGGTAAAAATCCATCTACAGATCTCTCCTCCTATGACAGGGCATTTAGCCTAAACAAACATTTCATCTTTACCAGCTGAGTTCTTATAATCTTAGTGACTTTCCATTTGAGTGCAAAAACCTGCCTGCTGCCCTGAAAACTTCGGCAGTTTTGAATGCGTAGTTACTGCATAATCCCTGGTCACCCATGTTTCCTTGTAAGTGAACTATCTAGAAATGATTTACAGGTTCTTTTGAAGTATTTAGTCCAACATTCCTACAAGAAGCCTCTGGGGAAAATAACCTAACTTCTTGGACTGAGCATTTTGATGCTCACTAATTAATAGAAGCGTGTGCTATATAATTAGTACAGCTGGAACCCCGGACGCTTTCGGGCCCATTTGGAGGTACTGAATGTGCACTGGTGATGTGAAAGTCAGCAGGATCCCACACTGCTCAGCAGCTCTGAGCCCAAGGCCACCAAAAAAGACTGTGCTTTGTCCTTTTGACTGTTGGTGAAGCCACTCTAGCTATACTTTACAAAATATGTTGATAGTTTTGCTCTTGCTTTTTGGCAGTTGGCAACTATCAAAGCCTGTATTCCTAGTAATTATTAATTCTTTTAAAGTGTTTTAATGATGGTGTATACACACTGCAGGTGACCACAATGGCACAAAGTACTCTTTGGAACAGACTGTTTTAGTTTTTTATGTTTTAAAATTATTAAGTTCTTCTCCAAAGTAGGAATATGCTGTACCACAACCAAAACAGTGTGTTTTGTGGCCAGACTGGGACTGACATTTAGGTTAGGGACTATTGCCCTAGTCTTGTGGACTCCATTAACTCCTGATGACAAAGACTTATTGAGCCATTAATCAAGAGTCACAGATTCATCAAATGCAGCCCTTGGAGTAAAAAGCAACCCAGATGAATTCCTTTTAAGCAGCATTAGAGGTATTCTCTTCTTAACTCACACCTGTAAAACCAGCTTTTTTCAGTCAGCAGTGCTGATTCAATAAGCCACATATCTCTGAGAATCATAGAATCCTTACCCATCGTACTAACCTGGCTATCCAGTCCAAGCAACAGAAGCATAATAAAAAAAAGGATTGCCCAAAAGGTGGGCAGTGGCATCATGGACACAGCTTTGGGGTAGGCAATGAAGGCCAGGCCCGGACCTAGAGAAAGAGAAAATAGGAAAGGGGGAAGGGAAGGGAAGAGACATAGTAAGTACCAGCTCTTTAGT